TATATATATATATATATATTAGTGTTTGTGTGTGTGTATATATTTTTTATGCATCTAATCGCACATAATATGAAAGAAACCTCATTTCCAACAAGATTTTAAAATAAAAGTCACATGGCTAAAAAAGATACGTATCCGTGTGTTAAAACGTTGCGAATTGAGGCCCAGCTCACACTATATACTGTATACCATGCACTATTGCATAGGGGTGGCAACTCCGGCCCTCCAGTTGTTGTGGAACTACAAGTCCCATGAAGCATTGCAAGACTGACAGTTGCAAGCATGACTCCCAGAGGCATGTTGGGATTTGTAGTTAAAGCACAGCTGGAGATGCCCATTGCCCACTCCTGCATAGCGCAATGTATCGTACGATGGGTGAGCTGGTGTGTTGCATTTCCATTCATGTAAAAGGCACTCCAACGTACCTCCTGGTGGGCGTGCATTGCAGTGCAGCGCAATAGGTACTGCTTGTGTTGCAGTGAAAAAAGTAGTGCATGCGTTACTTTTTTTCCCTCTGCACTGAAATGCAACACATGGGGGATATTTATCAAAACTGGAGCAGATGAATCTGAAGCAGTTGCCAATGGCAACCAATCAGCTTCTCAATTCAGTTTGTTCAGTTAAGGTTTGAAAATGAAAGGTGGATGCTGATTGGTTGCCATGGGCAACTACTCCAGATTCTCTCTGCTCCAGTTTTGATAAATATCCCCCCTATGGTATTGCGGTACCACATGTTGCACTGTGCTGCAACGCCCGGCTGTCAGAAGGTGCATTGGGGTGCAGTTTAATTGAAAGGCAACACACCAGCACACCTAACATATGCTGTATTGCTCTGTACATTGGTGTGCACTAAACGCACGGGTATCTTATCCTTTACCACAACGCTATAATGTAATCCAGACCTCAGTTCTCAAAGCTTTAACACAAGGATAAGTATCTCTTTTCTAGTCATGTGTTATTTTGTGCATTCCGGTGAGTTGTGTTAAAATGCAGCATGTGAACACAACGCACAGCATATAACGGTAAAATATGGTAAATATTTTGACCCGTCCCGGAAACAGGAATGCTTGGCAATAGATAACATTAAAAAGTATTTCAGCGCACATAAAAATGCAACACGCATGAAAACGCATGTTAGTGCATGTAAACATGCATTTCTTTGGTGCACTGTGGCTCATTTGAAATGTATGGGCTTCTTGACACAAGGTATGTAAAATAAATGAACAGGCTATGTGAAGAGGCTTTGTTGGCAGTCACCTCATTTGTAGTACACTGAAATCAATGTGATGTTAATGAGATCATTGTCAACAGTTAGCTCCATTTATAAGTAGTAAAGAGATCTCGGGTCAGCCCGCTCACCTAAAGCTAGCTATACACTGGTAGATGTCTCTTGTTCACTGAATGAGACAAATTACTTGATTCCCCCATTAACACTAAACAGCATAGATGGAGGAATCTCCTCTGCCGGCTATTGTATTCAGACAGCTGCAGCACCCGTACTTGCCTATATACTCAGGCAGTGAGGGGCGTTCACACATGACCTGTGTTTTGCTACACTGGATTAAAACAGGTCCCATAGAAAACAATTGTGTGTGTGGATGTGATGGATGGTGCGCTAACATGCTGCATTTTATCGCAGCACAACGGAGGGTTGTCAAATCTGGAGCAGACGGAATCTGGAGCAGTTGCCCATGGTAACTAATCAGCTTCTCTTTTCAGTTTCTTCAATTAAAATTTGAAAATGAAAGAGAGAAGCTGATTGGTTGCCATGGACAACTGCTCCATTTTCGATAAACTCCCCTCAGCATGTCACCGCAGGTTGTTCCACAACAGCACAGCACAGTGCACCTTGTTGACATGAAGTCAAATAGAGAGTCCCACCGCACTCCTGACTGAGAAGCCTCATAATATGTGGGGGGGTGCTGAAGTGGCCGCGGATGGCGCCGCCAAATACTCGCTGTGACGACATGGTGATGAGTTTATAAGATAAATGTGTATTGGGGTTGAGTTATGTTTGAGTGCGTTATGCTGTGTGACCTGGTTATGGAAAGACTATCAGCACCATCCCTCGTTATCTCCCATTGTTCTCTGAGGGAGCTCAGAACAATAACATTCTGGCCAGGCTGCTATGGCTGTCTGGAGTTCGTTAGCAGGTGGACGCCTGTGGTGTTGAGCAGACCGATTGTCTGGGAGGGGAGGATGGATGTGATGGGATTATATTCTGATCTGATCACTTTCTGTATAAAAGTTTGTGCAGTTGTTCAATAAAGCAGAGTTTGTTTACCCTACACTCAAGCCTTGGCTAGTGACTGGGGAAACGGGGAGCTACAGATCAGCGGGTTCCAATATCTCCTGAGCAAGGAAGAAGACAGCGGCGGACATACTCATCCTGAGTACGGGGGTCCGTCACACTCGCAAAACAAAAAAAATGGTCCCCAGCACGACAAGTTTTCTTCAAAATGAAATCCTTTTATTCATTCATGCAGGTCATATCACCATGCGTGGCAACGTTTCGGAACCTGTCCGGTCCCTTCATCAAGCAAACAAAAGTGATCACTGCCGGACCTGCCGCAATGCACTAGTCTATCCGCTGAAATGCAGCGTTTTAGCTGACGGGCTAGGGCAGGGGTGGGCAACTCTGGCCCTCCAGCTGTTGTAGAACTACAAGTAGGGTTGCCACCTGTCCAGGATTCACCCGGACAGTTCGGGTTTTGAATGCTGTGTCCGGGTTTCATGGCAGCAGAAACCCAGACACAAGATGCCAGGCAGACAGGGGCAACCAAAATTAAGATAGGGGCTACTGGCCCCCCACTAAAGAAGTCTCAACTGTGGTATTTACATATGAATGGGTGGCACTATTTACATATTAATAAGCCGCGACTCATTCTCCCAAGAAAAATGTCAGCGCGTCGCTAGAGTGTTTGGGTTTCACTTGAAGAAAAGGTGGCAACCCTAACTACAAGTCCCATTAGATATTGCAAGACTGACAGTTACAAGCATGGCTCCCAGAGGCAGAGGCATGTTGGGATTGTAGTTAAAGCACAGCTGGAGGGCCAGAGTTGCCCACCCCTGGGTTAGTGTTGCACTATTGAAACCTCATGAGAACAATCCCTTGTGTTTGTATCACATGGCCCATTCACACTGCGGATCTTATCTTTGTGTCAGCATGTGTTGTGTCACACGTTGCATTGCAGCAACCCGTTGGGGGGCAACACACACATTAACACGTGCTACTGCAGCAACAAAGTACTTCAGCCCTCAGACTGGATTCACATCTATTGTTTTTTTCCCCCTGATGTGTTTATCATGAAATTAATGGAAATGATTAAAATCACGCGTAAGGGCACTGTCACACTATCAAGAGTGCGTTCGGCCTCTGGAACACAACCTGGCCGGCTCACTTTGTTTTGAGGCGGGAGGGGGTGTGGCAGTGCATTGAACTCAATGATACTGCAGCCACGCCCCCCGTGCAATCGCTGGCACCCAAATCCGTGGCACATTAGTGCCTGCGTTCCGGTCCAGTGCAATCTGGTAAAAAATACTGCATGCACTAGGCGGAACGCACTGTGGTATTGTGTGGCAATCCCCCTGTACAATTGGGTGTTATGATCACCTGGGACTCTCAGCCAGATGGGCTGAGACGTGTCAGGAAGCAAGGGTTTGTCAGGACTATGCTTGGGATCCTGGAACTGGGAGGTTTCAAGGTGATTCAGGAGGGAAGATGAGATCCCCAGTCCTGGGTCCAGGCTTGACTAGGGCACGCCATAGGTTCCTTCTTGCACCAAAAGACCCTGCTACGCCACCTCCCCTCAATAACTAAAAACCCCCCAAATAACAGACCACACCATTGTTTGGTATAACTAGCTGTAGCAGCCCTTTATTACAAAAACATCATAACGTAAACCAATATATCTAACATTAGATTAATGTAATCAACAATTAACTAAATTATGTGTGATATTGGCTCCTGATGGGAAAGAGGAACAGACCGTGTTCAGGTGAATGCCCCCAGAAGTCAGAGAGGAGTCAGGCGAGCTCCTACTGGGATAGGAACGGACGGTGTTCAGGAGTCAGGAGGACTTCCCCCAGAATCTAAAGTGGAGTCAGGTGGTGAATGTGCTGGAAGCACACTTAAGGTGCCCATACACTGCACGATTATCGTACGATAATCGTATGCGAT